CACTCATTCACTTACTCAACAAACCACTGGTCTATGAATTCTTTAAATGCAAGGGCCAAGGCTATATTCATCTTGATATGCCAAGGTCTTTGTGCTTGTGCTTACTTTAAGGTGGCTGTTTAAAAAAATTTTATTAAGTGAATGAATAAATTTGAGTGCCAAGTCTGTACTAGACAATGGGGACCCAAATATAAACAAGAATTGGACTTGCTTTCAAGACGATTTCAATATAGATGGTCATAGTGAGACACAAATGATTGGTAATCAGACAGATGGATGAATACCTTGGGAGTTGCAGACAAAGGTCACAGCAGTTCAGAGGTGAGCGAAATTGCTTCTCTCGCGTGAGGGCTTGGCAATCATAAAAGCCTTCATGAGGGAGGTGATATCTGAGTGGGGTGTTGAAGAATAGGCAGGACTTGGATGTAGAGATGGAGGCAAGTGTTCTCCTGCAGACATGCAAAATACTGAGAGTTCTGTCTTTACAGGAGAGTGTTCAGGGCAATGGCAGATGGAGCCATGGAGCTCTTGAAGCACTGAGGAGAAGTGCAGTTTTTGGCCAGGGATTCAAAGAAAGATCCATGATGGAAGTGAGGAAAGGGGTATACACCCGGAGTTGGAGGGAAGGGCAGGGTTCTAGGCAGTGAGAATGCCAGAGTGAAGGCTCAGAGCAGTATGCGCATAAAGCAAAGCAGTTTAGCATCAATCCTGACTCAGGGCAGGGAGTGGTGGGAGGAATCTGGAGAGGGAGGTTGAGGCCAGGCTGTGGAGGATCATGGTTTGGGCCACTGTCCAATTTGTTTAGAATTTGAGCTTTGTATTCAAAGACTAAATGAGCTCATGAGGATTTGGGGAGGAATTGGGGCCACCGGCTTTTTGGGTGAGGCCTCAAGGCCCGCATACTTTGGACACACTCCTGAGACCCAGCACAAGTGCACTTCACTCTCCTTCCCCATGGCTGCAACACCACACCTTGTGACAGCTGCACTTCCCTGCCCACTCTTGTTTACTAAGAGGCCATGTTGCTGGGAGCAAGAGGTTTGGTGTCATTTCTTTGTCTCCTGGAAGAATCTTCTCTCATGCCCCACACTGGTGTTGACTCTTGTGCTTTGTCGAGCACCTTTTATATGCTAGGGGCTATAAGCTGCTATTTCTAAATCTCCTTAAATTACCCACAGTGTCCACTGTCATCCTGCCACAATCACTTTCTCTGGTTTAATGTCCAAAAGGAGTCTCAAATTCCTCCATGGAGAGAGATTCATACTTTGCAAATAATTTCATAGAAAAATAAATTTAAACTGCTTATTAATTTCTTCAGCTTAAATGACCATTTAATGATTTTTTTGCTTCCCTCTCTCTCTTTTCTTTTGGTACCGGGGATCAAACTCAGGACCTTGCGCTTACAAGGAAGGTGCATTGCCACTGAGCTACATGCATGGCCCTTCTACTTCTCTTTTTCTCTTTTGTTTCCAGCAACCTATTTAATAATATCCTAAGGTCTTTGTGAATTCTCCTTTAAGAAGGAGGTAGTGGTTCCTGCTCTTTCTGGCCTCTGGTTTGAGAAGTCAGGTGATACACACACACACACACACACACACACACACGAGCGTGCGTGCGCACACACACGATTCAGCACAAATACAAGTGGACATCTCTTGTCATGTAGGGATTTTATTCAAACAAAGACTTACTCAGGGCAAACCCTTTTTCAGTTTCACAGTCATGTTAAACTCCTTAAGTGCTTTGAGGATGTTGCTTTTTCAGCTTATTCTTACAGCAGGAGGTGGAAGCAAGTTATTTATAACTAGGATGGGAGAAAGAAAGGTGGAGAGCATCTCACCTCTCTCCCCTGTGACCCCTGCAGTCTGTTTTCTACACAGCAGCCAGATGGAGCCTAGCAAAGTCAGCTCACATTCTCCTTTGCACAAACCCTTCAGCGGCTTTCACTGTCAGAGGAAAAGCTGGCTTTATGAGGCTCTGTGTGATCTGTCTTCATCTTGGTTACTGCTCTTCCTCCCTCACTCTGCTTCAGCTACACTGGCCCCTTGTGGTTCCTCACATGTTCTCCATACTCCTGCTGCTGGGCCTTTGCACTTGTGGCTCCCTCTACCTGTGTCACCCTTTACCCAGATGTACTCCTCTTTTAAGAATTTGGAGTGGGTCTGAGTCCTGGAACCTCTGCCCTGAGGATGGGGAGAAATTCCTTTACCATGCTTGGTTCTCTCTGTGCTCAGGTATCTGCTTGGGGCCGCTGGGCCACTCCATGAAATGGCAGCCCAGGCAGGCACCCTTGGGCCCGCTTTCTCTGTTGCACTTCTTCCATAGCGTCTTCTATTGCCTGACCCATCATGTGCTCGTTTCTCTACTGTCTGTCCCCTGCTGGCACGAGAACTTTAGACAAGCAGGGGTTTCATCCAATCTGTCCCGTACTGTGTCCCTAATTTGTAGAACAGTGTTTGGAGGACAGTGAGTACTTAATAAGGAGTCATCACCTGAATGGAGAGAGGCAGGGCAAGCTGACCAGGGCTGATGCTTTGCTTCTGAGGAAGACGGACATTAAGAAAAAATAAGAAGGGAATGGGTGCCTGAGTCACAGGGCAATTGATTCACTGCATGCACCTGCAATTTCCCCTGAGCAATAGAGAAGCCCTAATCCCAAGTTAGGTCAGAAGCATGTTTCAAAGTGACACAAAATAGTAAAAGACAAAATAGTAGCTAATATTTTCTGAGCACTAACTATGTATAGGCACCATTCCTAGGTGTTTATCATGTTATTTTCTTCAGTTCTCACAAGAGCTAGGGAAGATTCATCTGCTATTGGTTCTATTTTATAGATGAGGAAATTTAATCTTGGAGAGGACTAGCAACATGTCCACGACTACATAGTTAGCCAGAAGCAGAGCTGAGATTCAAACCCAGGAGGGCCTAACTTCTAAAGCCATGTCTTCTGCCTGCAGAATAGAGATGACCCAACATTAAGGAAAGGGACAGAATCTTACCCTTCAGGGGAAGAAGCACAGTGTCCCCATCACAGACAGGCAGGAGTCTCCTAGTTTTCATGCATGTTCAGCCACTTGGAAGTATTATGCCCCAACTAGGTGTTGTCATTTAAGAGGCACATCAATAGGTTGGAATAGGTTTAGGGAAGGGTCTCAGAAACCATGTGCCCTGAGAACCAGGAGAAAGAGCTGGGTGTATGCACCTAGCATAGAGACAGTTTCTGGGAAAGCAGTAGTGTTTCCACAGGCATCGCCACACAGAAGCAGGGATGTTTGTGTGTGTTTCTGTGAAGGCCAGGCAAGAACAAATTCATGTTGGTTCAGTTCCCATCCATGGAAAGACTGCCTGGGCAGAGGCTGATGGACACAAAGGCAAGGGAGACTGGTGTGGACGGCACACACAGGGTTTTGGTTCAGTAAAGAATCTCTTTGGGGACAGGACCCCTCTCTCTCAGACAGCATTACAGGTACTGCTGAATTCATAGTGAAATGTATGTTTTCAAAGGATACTGAAAGTATAAGTTCTGACATGTGTGAGGGTCAATACAGATTTTTGTGGTGTGTTTTAAAAGGGGCTTTTAGACCCAAAGAAGTGTGCATATGTGTGTGTGTGTACTTCTTGGTAAAAAATTTATTATGATGCAAATAACTTGCAGTAGTGATATAATGTAACAACATATTTAAGGAGAATTTTATGCTACTCAGCTCTCTTAAGTATTAAAAAACAAAATATTAAAAAAGAAAACATACAGCCTAATTTGTGACACGTGTTGTTTGGAACATTGGCAAAGATTTCATTCACCTAGCTAGGTTCCTGAGAGATCCAGAGGGTGGAGAAGATTGATCATCTTTGCTGGTTAATGATGCTGAAACACACATAATTTAAACAGTCCTGACCATGCCTCGTCATGGGGAGAGTCTGGTGGACCCCTGGGGTTGGTTCATCCTTCAAACTCTGGTTACTCTGAGGGAGCAAGGAGCTCTGAGAGGGGTCTGTGTGGCCACTCCCTGGGCCTCTGCTCATTTCGCATCCCTCAGAGCTGTGGGCAGCAGTAGTGGAAGATCAGGGGTATAAATCAGAGATGTCAGAAAGGGAATCGTAGCGATGCACAGGGAGCAACTATGTGACCTCAAATCTCCCCTTGAGAAGAAGGTGACCCTGATTTTTTGCATATATTTTCCTAAATCTGAACACTAAATTTGAGGAGTCAGTGGATTTCTTGTTTTAAGATGATCTCAATTAGCTTGGGCTACTTCTTGTAATGGGAGTTGAACCACCTTTTAACCAGTTTTATCTGGTTATAATTCAGTGTAAGAGCTTCATTAATCCATTGATTCATCAATAATTGATTGACTCATTCATTCATTTCACATCTATTATTGGCAAAGTACTCTCTTAAGGACCAAGATATCCAGTATGTGACCAAGACTGGAAGCTCCGGGCACACACTAGGCACTTGAAACCATGTGCTGACTATGGAGTAAACAATGTCACCTTTTCTACAGCGACGCTTTTCCAGAGTTGTTTCCACTGCTCAAGGGAACCAGAGCACCCCACACCCACCTTTCTAGAGCTAAGCCCTGCTCTGGCAGGGCACAGGGACAGGCAACAGGCACATGGCCCTGAGCTGTGCCCCTGATGCAGGTCAGCATGCTTCCTGGGGCTTGTAGGACAAAAATCTAGGAGGTAGCAGTGCTGAGCATGGGGCAATGCCAGGCACCGCTCCTTGCCAGGTAAGCCTGCCACCTTAGCACTTCTACCGTTTCAAATATTTCTCAAGGTGTTTGGTAGCCTGGAACAAACTTCTGCCTTGGAGGCAAACCCAGCCCATGAATATTTGGGATTAATTATTTCTCCTTTGTTTGAGCCCAACAACCTCCTGCAATGTATCAAAAAGGGATTCATTCTGTACAGTCGTCAGTCCCCTTCTCTTCCTGCCTGTGAGCTCAGTGTCCTTGATGCTTAAGTCTCACTCTTTTCCCTTCACCAAGCTCCTTGCCATGAACAGACAAGCCTGCAAGGCACCTGGAGGCAGGAGCCAGGGCTTCTCCGGCTGCTTGGCTGCGGTCTCTGGTGGCAGCAGGATGAGCTGTGTGGCCCGCACTGGGGGCTCTGGTGGAGGGGCTTGTGGGTTCCAGAGTGGAGCAGGCAGCTTTGGCAGTTGCAGCCTCTATAACCTGGGTGGCAGGAAGAGCATCTCTATCAGTGTGGCAGCCGGTGGCTCCCAGGCTGGTGGCTTTGGTGGAGGGCAGAGCAGCTGTGATAGTGGCTTTGCGGGTAGCTATGGAGGTGGCTTTGTGGGTGGCTACAGAGGCAGCTTTGGCAGTAGCTTTGGTGGTAGTAGAAGAATGGGAAGTGGGTTTGGTGGAGCTGGTGGCTTTGCAGTGGTTGGTGGCTTGGGTGGTCTTGTTGGCTTTGGTGGGCCTGCTGGTTTTGGCCCTGGTTGTTTCCCTGGGGGAATCCAGGAAGTGACTGTCAGTCAGAGCCTCCTACAGCCCCTCAGTGTGGAGACTGACCCCCATATTGGGCAAGTAAAGGCCCAGGAGCACGAGCAGATCAAGACTCTCAACAACATGTTTGCCTCCTTCATCGATAAGGTAATGGGCCTGATTGGGCATCCATTTCTAGGCTAGGACTTTGAACTTAACTTTCAGAGAGTGTTCAAATGTGTCCTGCATAGACCAGGCTAGACAGTGAGGAGTTGGGCAAAATACTGGGGTCTGGGAAGATATTTAGCTCTGGCTGATTAGTTTCTCTTTATGGTCAAGTGGTGCATGTGTGGGAAGAAAATGGTGCCCTGTTTGGATCCAACACCATTGCGCCCTGCTTGTCTGAGCCTCTGCTCTAGTCTCCCGCTTGTTTCTTTAGCTAGGCCTAGGCTGGTAGAGCTGGTAGCCCGGGACAAGGGCCATGGCCACTGGCAAAGAAGGGTCTGACCTCAAATTGCAAATGTGAGTTGTCCTCTGAGGCTTTCAATGAGGCCAGGCCATGGAGATGTATTAAGAGGCTTAAGCAGAATCCCAGTCTCAAGGGGCTGTGTGAAGTTGATGGCTTCCTTCGCATTCCTACCTAGGCAGGAAAGGAAGGGTGCTCAGTGACCTTCTCCAGACCAGAACATCTGAGGTGGGGCTGTGAGGCCCAAGAGAAGTGTTATGCTGACTATGACATGCCAACAAGTGTCAGTTCCCAGAGACTCACAGCCTTTGAAAGGTGGCAGTGTCCCTGGAGTCTTAGATGGAGTGGTGCTGCTGGGCTTCATGTACATTTTTGCAGAATGTACTATATTTTGGGAAGTTGGGATAGTGCTGAGGTCCCTAGGAACACCAAGGAGTCATCTTTATAATCTTGCACTTAGGCAGGTGTCTTTCTTGTTTCCACTGCATGTCTCTCTTCTCTTCGTAACTTTCCAAGTCATGCTGCCTCCTTAATGCCCTGACTCACAGGGCTGATCACAGTCCCAGCAGCTGCAGCAGGAGCTGCTTTCACATCTGCTCTAGGCCTTTGTGCTGGGAAGCAGGAGATACAGACATCCAGACCTGCCTGGGCTGCCAAGGGACTCCCCTCCCTGCTCACCGCCAGTGTTGCCTGACACTTCTCCACTGTGCTGCAGGTGCACTTCCTGGAGCAACAGAACAAGGTTCTGGGGACAAGTGGGAGCTACTCCAGAAGCAGGGCACCAGTTCCACCACTGGCACCAACAACCTTGAGCCTCTGTTTGAGAACTACATTAACCACCTGCGGAGTCACCTGGGTGGGATCCTTGGGGAGAGAGGCCACTTGGACTCAGAGCTAAGGAACACGCAGGACCTGGTGGAGAACTTCAAGAAGAAGTGAGCAAAAGGGAAGGAGGGCGAGATGCCCTGAGCCACCCTTCTCAGAATTTCCCTACCTGTGTCCCTCCTGCCTGCTGTGCAGTTGTGTTGCCTGGCCTGTTACTCTCTTTACCATCAGGGGACAGCTGGGTAGTGAGGTTCCCCCTCACCTTCCTTCTCTAAGCACAGTCCTTTACAAATGAACTTGTGGCAAGAGGCAGGAGTTTAGAGCTGAAGCATTTCCTCCTGAACCAAGTTGGGGAAAATTCTGGTTCTAGGATGTGAAAGATTCTGGGGCAACCCAAGGTAGAGTGATTAATCGTCCTGGAGGTTTGTTTGGGACTGAGGGTTTTCCTGAAATGTGGGACTTTTAGTGTGAAAATCAAGATAGTTTGCCATGGAAAACTGGAATGCCTGGTCTCCCTAACTAATAGGGAGCTGGGCAAGAGGATGTGTTCATTAAAGAGAGGGGGATAAAGACAGATGGGTGAAAGAGATAAATTTCCAGGGTTTTAGAGAAAAGTGGTATTTATGACAACTTTAGAACCAAACAGCCATTTCTTTTTTACTTCCACAGACCACAGTGGCTGAGAATGAATTTGTGACCCTGAAGAAGGTAAGGACCATGTGTGAGGCTCCTGGCAATTTTCCAGTGGGGTTGGGGGATCTCCTTACTCCACTTCCTCAAGGCTGCCATGTTCAGGCCCTTGGAGCAATAAAAAGAAGCCAGGGGCTTCTTAGTTAGGAAGATCCCTAAGAGTCAGTTAATTGGTCTTTCATTTTTGAGTAGGATTGAAATCACACAGTCTCTGTTTGGACAAGTACTATCCCCAGCCCTGGTCCCCCCAGACTCCCTTGCTACAGTTTGTTGTTTGTTTCTTATGGAAATGAGGCCTTTATGTTTCTGTCTTTCTCAGGATGTGGATGCTGCCTACATGAACAAGGTGGAGCTTCAGGCCAAGATGGACGCCCTGGTAGATGAGATCAACTTCCTGAGGACTCCCTATGATGCAGTGAGGATGTTTCCTGCTAAGCATGGGGAGAGCGGGAGGGTGAGTTGTTTTCAGATTTGAGGCTGGGTATTTTGGTATGTAGGTCCTAGAAGACTGTCATGCTAGAGATGATGCCCTTTGGTAGGGGTTCTGCAGATTGGCTGGAGACACCTGGGACATTTAGAGCTAAGAGTCAGTGAGTGGGGATATTGATCAGGAGTCTCTCTAGGCCTGTGCTCTTGTGGCAGAGACCCTGAAAGTGAATAGTCTCCCTCTATGTTGGCAGGAGCTGTCCCAGATGCAAAGTCACGTCAGTGACACTTCTGTGGTCCTATCCATGGACAACAACCACGATCTGGACCTGGACAGCATCACTGCTGAGGTTCATGGTCAGTACGAGGACATTGCCCCGAGGAGCAGGCTAAGGCTGAGGCCCTGTACCAGACCAAGGTGGACGTAAGTACCTCTCAGGGGATCCAGTGAGTCTCAGGAGGCCATGTCCTGTGGGATTGCTAAGTGGTGAGTTCCCAGGGATCCCTCTTGGTTCTACTCTCTGGAGATATCCTTCTAATGGTTGTTCAGCTGAAGAATGTCTGTCTGCTGAGGGGGAAATTGTTGCACTACCCCCTGCCAGACTGACTCTTGCTTGCTCAGGGCCTATAGGTTGGAAGACTCTTCTACCACAACATCCCACATGTCCTCTTCCCTGATGAAACACATCAATACCATTTTAACAAATGCTTACTAAGAATGTCAAGGTTTGGTGGGTGGCGTTGGGTGGTATAGAAACAAGCTAGGCAAAGCCAGAGTAATCTCATCTTCCCTTTCACTTTCTAGTTGGGAGAGCTGCAGACCAAGAGCGAGATCCAGGAGCTCAACAGGATGATCCAGAGGCTGCGGGCGGAGATTGAGGATGTCAAGAAGCAGGTGGGATGGTGCCTGGGCTGACTGGTCAGGAGTAAGGGTCAGAGTCTCAGGGCTCCCAGGCAGGACTTTTGGAGGTCATCTCAGGCAGCATTGGCTTCTGCAGAGTTCATAGACCAAGGCAATCTAGATGGCTGGCTAACCTGCAGGGAAATATCTCTTTGGATGAGACAATATGGAGGTGCTAGAGGGAGGAGTAATGTTTCCTGATTTTAAGATGGGATAATTCTTTCTAAGATGAAGAAAGTTTGGGACCCTCCTGCTGGCCTTATCCCATCCATCTCCCATGTCCCAGAATGCTAACCTGCAGACATCCATCGCAGAAGCTGAGCAGCAGAGGGAGATGGCCCTCAAGGATGCCAGTGCCAAGCTCCAGGACTTGCAGGCTGCACTACAGTAGGCCAAGGATGACCTGACCCAGCTGCTGCGTGACTACCAGGAGCTGATGAATGTCAAGCTGGCTCTGGACATGGAGATTGCCACCTACCGAAAGCTGCTGGAGGGTGGGGAGGGCAGATGGGCCTCTAGTCCCATATTCCTGAGGCATGTCACATGCCGAGGGCTGGATAAGTGACCAAACAATGGGGATGGAGACCTGTTGAAAAGAGAGAGGCCCTCACCTTCCATAGGTCTTACAGAGAAACACTTATTTTTACCAGGGCTCTTGCTCCACAGATTGCCCAAGTGCGTTTGCAACCAGTGCACTGGGGCCTTTTGTTATGACCCAGAGCAGGGTGGATAAAGCTTACTGACCTTCCCAGCTTCTCAGTTCATGGGTTGGTTGCAGATATGCTTTGTGACAGAGCCATTTTTCTCTTGTTTTTTCAAACAGGATGTCTGGAGAATGCCAGAGTGCTGTCAGCATCTGTAAGTGGTCAAAGTAACCATGACAGTCAGAGCTGGTCCCCAAATATCTCTCCCCAAATATCTGTACAGGGAAGAAGCAACTAATTAAGAGAATATTCCTGTGAAAGTTGGAGGGGTCTTCTGAGGATGGAGGGGCAGAAGATTGGCTTCTATAATTGGGGTTCAGAGCACTTTTAATGGGTATAGAATGCCAATGGGAAGTATCTGATAGGGAGCCCTTTAATGGAGGAAGAATTCAAACACTGGATGATCTCTAAGGAGGTCTTTAAGAGTTGTCCATATGTAGAAGGAGCCATTGAGTCATTCTTAATGATGGATGACATTAGAATGCCCCCAATGATTGTCAGCTGCAAAGCTGCCCTATCACTCCCAATCTTCCTGACCCAGTGGCACATTAACTAATTATAACACAGTGATGTGGGCACTGGGGCACTGCTGTCTTTTCCTCCTCCACAGCTGTGGTCAACAGCAGTGGTACGATTTCAGCCTTGGCAGGCAGTTATGGTGGTGGCTTTAGCGTAGGAGGTGGCACAGGCAGTGGCTTTGGCTTGGGAGGTGGCAGTGGATCTGGCAGCAGCAGTGGATTTGGCAGCTGCAACAGTTTCAGTGGTGGCAGAAGCTTTGGCTCTGGCTCTGTGGGTCACAGTGGAGTCAGCTGGGGTGGCACTGTCAAGCTCCCCCAGTCCTCCCAGCGCTACTCCAGATAAAGAACGAGCATGCTCACCAGCATCACAGTCCCTCAGCGCCTCCCTCCTCACCCACTCCTCCCTTCCCAGTGTCATGTCACCCTGCCTCTAAAGGAGTGGCTAGGGCTGGAGGGCTGGGACTCTTGCTTTTTCATGTGGGTCCCTGGCTGAGCCCAGCCATGAGGATTTCAAGCTCTCTCCTCTCTGGTCCAAGTGTATGCCTGTGATTATCCAGGTGTGGCCTCAGCTGCCACTTCCTGCTGTCCTTGGGGTTGTCCCCTCCCTGGCTGGGAGAGTCACCACAGTTCTGGTGTATATAACATGCAGCTCCCTCTGCCCCCATGTTCTGTCACCAATAAAATGCATTGTGTCTCACACTAGGCCTCTGAGTATTCTCTCCACATCCATCTCCCCACTGGACTGACCCCTCTGGTTAGCTCCCTGGGCTTATGTCTTCTACCTCTCCCTCGTGGGCCCCACGGTCCACAGAGCAACTGGAATACTTCTGTTCCAAAACAGGGCTGTTCCTTTTCATCATCCATTGGATGGGATTTAAATGGGCAAAATTTGGCTGTTCATTTATTCTTGGAGCACTGTGGGGTGGGGCTTCACAGTTCCTGGGGTGGGGGGGAAGGCTGGCCCAGGCAGACACCTATCTCCTCTGCCGTCACTCATTTGGTGGAAGTCAGAGAGCATTGGAAACAGATTTTCCCTTGGTGCTGGTCCCCCTCTGGCTTGCATCCTGAAAGTGTCCCCCATTAAGGCACACTGCTAGAAGCCCAGGGCTGCAAGATTCTCCTAGAGCAACCTACTCAGTGTCTGACCCATGAGCATCCTGAATACTGTCCCATGGACTCTGGGGCTCAAGGAGTGTACCAGCCACAGAGACTCTATCATTCTGCCTCTGCCCTGTACCAAGAAGCCCTGACCAATGTTCGTTGGCCACTGGAAAGCTACCCAGAAGGCCATGGCTGACAGGGACTCAGGAGCAGGAAGTCCAAGGTCTTCATTCAAACTGAGGGGTGGGGAGACTCACTTAAAGTTTCATGGCACATGAGGAGCTGAGGTAGGAGAGGACTCAAGCAACCTGAGTCTAGGCCCTTCCACTTTCTCATACCATCTCTGAGCTGCCCCATGGCTTGGGCACCCAGGGAACGCACAGGCTGTGGACAGAAACATTCAGGCAGGCCAGGGATGCATTTATAGCCTGGGCCAAAGCTGAATTTATTTCCAAGGTGGGGAATGGCAGTTAGACAAGGAAAACTTGCACCTGGGAGCTGGGGAGATTTTGGGTGGATATCTAGCCCCCATGTCCACTCTGATAGCCCAGGAAGGCTTTTTGGAGGTGGAAGTTCATAGCTAATGGCTCATGTTTGAGCAGGAATGTGCCTTTTCTGACTTTTTAATCCCTCTGTGTAAAGCAGACAGGAGACAGAGGTGGGGAGACTTTGTGCTTCACCATTTCCAAGGCAGGCCTCGTGGGAACATGCCAGGCCAGGGGTGGGTCCGCTGCTTCACTCTGGAGAGTCATTATTAATGAATTTATTTCTTTCCTTTTCTTTCTTTCTTTCTTTCTTTCTTTCTTTCTTTCTTTCTTTCTTTCTTTCTTTCTTTCTTTCTTCCTTCCTTCCTTCCTTCCTTCCTTCTTTCCTTCCTTCCTTCTTCCTTCCTTCCTTGGAGACAGGCTCTCACTATCTAGTTCACGCTGGCCTTGAACTTGCAGTGATCCTCCTGCCTCAGCTTCTTTTCTTTTCTTCACTTCCCTCCTCCTCTCCTCCTCACCCTTTCTGCCCCCCTTTTTCCTCCTTCTCTGTCTTCTTTTTCCTTCTCCTCCCCCACCTTGTGATGCTGGGGAACAAGGCAAGCACTCCACCAATGAGCCACATTCCCATCCCCTATTTAAGCTTTTATTCTCTGCCTGGCAATGAGTTTAAATTCTGGAGATAAATTGGTGAGCAAAGATCAAATGTTGCCTCATTGTAGAGAGCGTCTCACTTTAGGGAGCCTACCAACAAAAGAGCAAATAAATAAATGAATACAAAAAATTTTAGTTTGTAATGGGTATATAAAAAAAGAAACAGAGGTTGAGGTGAACAAGTGACAAGACTGTTAATAGGAGGGGAAGGGAAGGGAAGGCTCAACCCTGATGCCTAGCTTCCTAGTAGGAGCAATGAGGTGGACAGTGGTGCCATTTACCCAGGTGTGTGTGTGTGTGTGTGTGTGTGTGTGTGTGTGTGTTCTGAGAGGGTTGGAGGGTGGAATGGGCATGAAGAAGAACTCCAGGCACTCTGCTTTAGACAGGTTGGAGCTGCATAGGAGCCAGTGAAGATGTCCAGGCCACAGCTGGGGATGGGAGTGTGGTCAGAAGGGAGGCTTGCCAGGCTAGACTCGCATGTGGACATCATCACCTTTTGAATGGTGAAGGTGGTTCCTCAAATCATGGAGACTGATGAGTTCTTTACAGACAGAGTAAAGAAAAGAGGTCTCAGGCTGAGATCTAAGAGCCTAGCACCTAGAGCCAGGGAGAGGAGGACAGTCAACCAGGCAACAGAGTCAGGGCCAAGTTTCTTGGGACAATGTTCCTGGTGTCACATCTTACATTCAGACAGTGGCCTCTGTCCTTTGCTGCTCCTCTCCAGGCTCTAACCTATGTCCACTGGCCCTTGTTTGTTTTGGTGGGGAGACCCCACTACCCAGGTAGCCCTGTAGTGGTGGGGTTTTGGGGAATAAACCTCTTAAGGGAGAGCTTGGACCAGGAGAAATGGGTGGTGAAGAGACTGTCTTGGAGGTGTCATTTCCCAGAGGACCTTGTGCCAGGACCTTCGACTGAAGGAGTTAATTCCACCCTTGGCTGTATATTCTCAGCCCAGCTCTAATCCTTTCTAATCCAGGCTGAAAACACTTTCAGGATGCTTTACTATTGCAGTGGTCCTTTCTTCTCTTTGCCTTGGCATTTACACCATTTCTTTGTGCTATTCTATGTTGACTTTCTAAGTGCTCTTAAGTTGCTGGAGTTAGCCAACTTGATTACTGGTCCCTAAGCTGGGATTTGGGGCCACTGGCCAATGATTAAGAATCTCTTGTGCTTTTTGCTCTGTTCTCTATTCTTCTTCCTTGAGTGTGGACTGGTACATCCTCTTGTTATGACATAGAGGAACTAATTTCTACCTCCAACCGTGCTCTGTCTGTTGACCTCCCCCTGCCCACCCCCCCTACTGGAAGGAATACCCAAAAGACTACCTTCCTCTTCCAAGAGTTGTGACTTACTTGTTCACATGTCCCTCGACAGAGAGGAGACTAAGGTGTGTTTGTTTGTAGATTTCAGGTTATTTCCCTCTATCTTCTAGGATCCAGGCTGCAAGCCCAAGCAAGTATCAACAGTGTTGGTGACACATCCACAGACAACTCAGGGAAACTGGGATGGTTTCTCACAGGAATCTGAAAGTAGATCAGCACTTGGGCATGGATAATCCAGACCTGACTGCTACTGATGAAGGTTTGCATGTAACATTTTGGGTAATTTGGAGGTAAATCTCTACAGGACTCCTGTCAGGTTTGCCTAGAGCTAGGTGGAGGTTTGTTAGCCAATCATCAGAAAACTCATCTCCTGGGATTTGGCCTCCCCTTCTCTCTGCCTTCTCAGCACTTTAGCCCAATGGCCTTCTCTCTCTGCTGACAAAGGCCAGACACGTGGACACCTTGCAATACTCCTGGGGTGGCTGAGAAAACTCAGTACTGAAAACATATTTTGTCATATTTTCTTACAAACCATTCTGGTGTACAAAGGGCACAATTTTCACATCACTGTCATGCCTAAGAGCAAGCTAATCACCACCAACCCTTCTAGTCCTGGCTGGAGGTTTGGGTTGACTCTCCTAGGAAACCACTGATAGAGGTGTAGTGGGAGCAGTCTGACACCTTTGGAATCTTCAGTGACGTGACCACATGGTGACAGCTCCATCACCCCCTGAGAAGTCAGGGGCAGGATAAGATGGCTGTAGATGGCAATAAAGCTGTGGTTCTTGCTGGGTGTGGTGGCGCACACCTGTAACACTGTGAGATGTTGAGGCAGGAAGATCACCCTAAGCATCTAAGTGAGACCCTGTCTCAAAATAAAAAGTAAAAATTAAAAAAAGGACTGGAGATGTAGCTCAGTATGAAGGTCCTATGTTCAACTCACAGTACTACCACCACTAAAACAAAAGTCAAATTCAAAACAAAAACTAAAAGAAAAACAAAAACAAAAAAGAGCTGTGGTTCTTGGTAGGGGTGATTCTGTCCCCTCTGCCAACACAGCAATGACTGGTGCCATATTTGGTTATTATAGCTGGAGGGGTAATATGTGCATGTAGAAGGCAGAGCCTTGAATGCTACTAAACATCGTACAATGCACAGGTAATCCCCTTCAGCAAAGAAATAGCCAGCCTAAGGTGTCAACAGTGCTGCTGCTGAGAACCTTCCACCAAGGCAAGGGGCCATCCCACAACCCGCTCCCTGGGAGCCAATCTTTAGCAAGAGAAATCCTGGATTTGAGAGAAGATTGTTCTAAAATGGACATGTCCTTTTATTCTGGACAAAGCCATAAGAAACAAGCCAGGAAATTGGTGTGGCTTTAGGTGGGGACTTTTAAGACCTGAGCAAATGGCCCTTGATGGGTGTGTGGTTCTGGTATCATCCTGTGGGTTTATGCAGCTGTGAATTTGATACTCTGTTCCCTTTGCCAGAAATGCTCACTCCACCTTCCATCACTTACTCCTTGGAGATTGCTCGGCATGGCCTCCCTAGCCCTGTCTTCATCTCCATGGTGCTGAATGCCTGCTTCCTGGGTTCCCAGGACTTATTTACTCCCTTTTATCGTGTGTCATGCTCTCTCAAAATGACAAGCTTCAGTGTCTGCTCTTGACACCAGGATGGAAGTTTCCTGAAGGGACATGGATGCACCTCACTCATCCTTGTGCCCCCTGTGACCAGATGGGGCCTGGCACATTGCAGAGACTGTGGATTTCCCTGGGCTAATGAGG